GTAGCCGTACATCACTGCGCCCTTGCAGTTGCGACGACGCGCTACCTCCTCCCGCAGGGCCGCGTACTCGTCTGACGCCAGCTCCACCGCCGGCCGAGGCGCCACAACGCTGAGGCCGAAGGACCGCAGCGCCGCCATGCTGCTCGCGGGGTCGACACAAAGACCCGCACCCGAGGCCGCCCCACGGCGGGTAAGGGCAAAGAACTTTAGCGCCTCACAGGGCCCGTAGTCGACGAGGTGCCCGGACTCCCGCAGGACGGCAGCAAAGCACGCGGTGTACCCTGCGGCGCTCAAGTAGTCATGTAGGGCAGCGGCCCCTCCCGCTGGCAGCGCACGCAACGTGTCCCGCCAGACGCAGAGCACGCGCCTGGGCACCGCGGCGCGCCACGAGTCGCCCGCGCCCCCGCCGTAGAGGGCGACGTCCTCCCCCGGCACGCCGAAGCGCACCAGCATGTGCACGTCGCCGGCGCCCACCAGCCAATAGCGCTCGCCGCCATGGCATGCTGTAAGGAGAGGAGGACAGAGAGTAATGCTCCGAAGTCAAGGGTCTCTTGTGTGGGAGACGCAAAAGCGCTCCGAACGCACATCAAACACACTAGGCAGCTAACGAGACTCTCTAGGCGTGCACTCAGTTTTTCCACAGAGTAAAAAGCATGTGCGGAGACTAGGCCGCGTTGAAAGATGACCTTCTCCGCATCCTGGCTTTCATCGTTGCAAAAGGAACCTGAGCTTGCCGTTTCCTTCGGCATCGCCTCGACAATTGCAAGCGCGACTGCGGAGAGCTCTACTCCGCCGTCAACATGCCGAGAGAGTGTGAGTTCAAGCGTCCTGATAACAGCATACATGGCATCTCCATGGTTCACATCTTTCAGCAACAATGGAGCATATTCGCAACGGGATATAAAGTGCCGATTCGCCTTCATAGCTTTGACGTCGGCAAACAACAGCTCCAGATTGTCTACTGACTCATTTTTGCCAGTGAGCAGGCTAGACACAATCACACGGTGCCTTCGAATAAGCAACGAAGGAATACGACTGGCAGCTGCCACGGCCAGTACTCTACGAAGTTGCTCTTCGCGAGAGGAAGAGGAGGAGGCGGCACAAAATTTCCTAAACCCTATCATCCACAATGTTGACACGCCTCTTAAGTGACCCGTGCTTCATGCGAGCGCAAGGGCGGAAGCAGGCGTATTATCCGCATGCAGCGCGGCACTGATGACGGTCACAAGGGCTTTGCCCAATACATTGGGCAAGTTCCACACCCCTACCACAAAGACACCTAAACAGGCTGGCCTCACAGTTGTGGCACTCTTCCTTGAAACGGGCCAGTGACGCGGACTATAGAGCGAGCTGTTGCTTCCCTGCTTTTTCCGCCAGAACCTCCCGCCATTGCCCTTGGAGCCGGGTGGCAGCAACCACGTTGCTACGGTTCGATCCTGCCCTAGATGTGTAATGGGACTATTTGCTACTTGACTTCCGTTGCTTCTGCAGGCCGCACCTGTTGGATGAGAAAGAAGTACACGCACGTAGTGGCAAGGGCAGGAGGAAGGGCAAGACGCTCCAAGAACGTCGCCACTGCAGAGACTTCTGCCGCAACTGCAGTAAATAGTTGAACACAAAAAATACAGGCAACACTAAAAAAAAAACAAAAAAGGCAATGAAAAAATTATCCACATCCATTCAAATGGATCATAGTTTTACGTTTTTCGTTTTGTAGTCTTTGTTGTAGTTGTTGCTTTTCCTGGTTTCCCCTCCTTCGCCTTGTTGCCCTTCTTTTTACTCCCCTGTATGAGCACGTTTTGTTGTTGTTCTTGTTGTGTTATGCCTGCCCGGGTTCGACTCCTCTCTCGCATTCCAGCCGTCCCCAGTTCGTGTTCCCGCCGCACCGCCGCCAAAAGAAGCAGAAATTGGAAAAAGAACCTGCTGCGCGCCAATAAAATCGCCCGCCGCCGTTCACATGATAACCTCCGGCTCGTGATAGCATTGCGTTATCGACTTGTTCGGAAGTACTTTGGTTCCGTTAAGAAACAGTTCGTCCTTCACCTCCACGTCCTCCCCGAGCACGGCGTTGTTGACAACGCGGCACCAGGAGCCGACCCGCGAATTCCAGCCGATAATGCTTGAGTCGATGAAAGTCCCGCTACCGACGACGCTGCCTTCGAGTATCGCCGCATTTTTAATGCGGGACGAGGAACCAATCACGCAGCCTGGTCCAATCGTTACAAAAGGTCCGACAACGCAGCCCCTTCCAATTTTCGCGCTTGGATCTATGATGACGGAGCCGACGACGGTGAATTCATCGGTTCTGTGAGCCCGGCCAGCCCCGTAGAGCTCCTTTGCCTCCTTCGGGGTCCCGTTGAGCGACCGCAGGTACTTGCTCACGCCCTCAATGTAGTCCTTAGGAACGCCGATGTCCATCCAGAAGCCTTCGAGCACAAATGCACACAGCTGTTTGGCGCTGGCCATCTGTGGGAATACTTGCGTTTCTATGGACGTCTTCTCCACCTTAATGCGGTCAAGAATACTCTTGTTAAACACGTAAATACCGGCGTTGATACGATCTCCCACAAAATTTCTCGGTTTTTCCACAAATTGATCAATAAGCCCAGTCGTCTCGTCAAAGACGACAACACCGTACTTCTGCCACTCTGTCACCTTCGTCACGGCGATGGTGCCCTCCTTCCCGTGCTTTTTATGGAATGAGAGAAGTTCTCGCAGCGGAAATTTGCACGTGACGTCCGCGTTCAAAACAAAGAAGGGCTGATCATCCTGGAGAAGGATATCACGCGCCAGTGCCAGCGGTCCAGCTGTCCCAAGGGGCTCTTCCTCCAGGGAAAACACGAAGGAGACGCCAAGCTCCTTGCCCCAGTACTCCATGGTTTTCCTCATCGCATCAGAGCGGTACGCAACAGCAAGAATCACTTCTGTCACACCCGCATCTCGTAGTGCCTCCACTTGGTGTACAATTATTGGTTTGTTGCAAAACGGCACCAACGGCTTTGGCATCGTTAGGGTAAGGGGGCGCAGACGAGTGCCGTACCCACCAACCAGAATGACAGCCCGCATGCCTTTGGCACCCTTACCAGACTTTTCTTCCTCAGACATGTTTTAGTTGCTTTTTTTTGTTTATTATTCTGCTTCACGCGCGCGCGCGTGTGTGTAGCCCCCAATGCATGCGTGAAACACCGTTGCGGGCGGCAAAGATAGGGGCAGCACAGCGAGGAAGAGGAAAGGAGAGAGAGAGAAAGAAATAAAAAGAGGCAGCAGGAAGCTGCGAGGAAAGAAGCCCTTCTCACCACCACCACACACCTGAGAAAAAGAAAAGAAAAACAAACAAACACGCACACAAATAAAAAAAAAATTGGGTGACTCAGTGCAACGGGAAAAACTTCCGGCTGTTCGAAGCGGCGGCTAACTGCGTCCGCCCCTAGATGAGGGGCGATGCTGTCTGGCACCCGATCCCCGCCCGCCACGATACCCACGACCGCCACTTCTCCCCCAATTGTTACCACTGCCCCGGCCCCGGCCTGCAGCCACCGCTTGTGGATTGGGCACACCGCCCGACGCGGCACAACCCACGCGAAGCGGCTGGAAACGTGGAGCCGCCTCTAGACCCACACTGGTCTGATAAGGAACCTCGGATCTGTTCCTCATTGCAAGAAACTCCCTCTTGAGCTGCTGCACCTCACCGCCGAGTGGCACAACACAGTTCTCAGTCATGATGACGGCCCCATTTTTTACTTCTGCCCCCTCTTTCACAAGAAGCTTCTCCCCTGGAATAGGTATGCCGGAGAACACAGGAAGGGTGGAGAGTTCAATGCCTGGAACCTCCGCGTGCCCATCGCTAAGGACGAGACGCAAAAGTCGCGTGTTCGTCTTTTTTTGTAAGGCAGCCGCAAACGCCATTTCTTCCTCGCTTGAGTCGGCGCATGGCCGAAGCGGCTGCGTGGCATCCCTCGAGCTGTTGACCTGAAGCACCACGGGGCTTGTGAAAGTGCCGCTCACCTGAGAGGCTACTCCGTGCGGAAGCGTCCCCACATCGGTGATGTCTTTAAAATTCTCGTTAAGGGCCCGCTGATAAACGAGCTCCGCAGTGACGGCCCCCTCTGTGGCGAAGAGGCGCTCTACAAACCGGGTAGACACGGCAATGTGATAACGCGCTTTGACTTCCGTGGCCAATGACGACATCTTGAGCCACTAGCAGCTTACGCAACGGGAATACAGTCATGCGAAACAGCAAGAGACGTGTGCCACACAAAGGCCTGCAGAAACAAAATGGCAATGTAGCAGAAATAGATATACATAAAAAAAAAGGACGCGCCACTTTCACGCCACATTCAAGCCAAAAAGAAATCAGACGGGAAACAATAAATGTGCAATATGCACACACACTCGCGCCACCTCAGGCATACAGAAACACCACCAGGCACACGAAACAACCAACCCTCTCTCTCTCTCTCTCTCTCTCTCTCTCCT